TGTCCAGGAAAATGGGCTACTAGGTTACAGCCTGCACAAATTAGGGGCCTACATGTTACAGGACTGTTTTGCTTTTTGGTCTCTCAAGTACAGTGAATCTACACTTTAAATGTAATGTTAACCGTCACACTGGCTCCCATATTTCTTGTTAGAATACATGTCTGTTCCTGCAAGAAGGTTCAAGTGTGTGATAATTTCTACATATTACAGCTGAGACCAGCCATACTTCTGAACATGTTTCAAGTGTTTCCCACAGTTCCTACAAAGATAGAAATAGCCCAGGCAGCCACAGCATAAGGACGCTAGGATGTAAACACAAGCGTCAAGTGCCTGACCCCAGACAAAAATAAAAAATAAGATTTAAATTCCGCTTTCTCATTCACACTTCTTTAGTCTCAGACTTAAAAAAAAAAAAAAAAAAAAAAAAAAACAAAAACAAAAAAAAAACAGAAGATGTGCACAGGCTATCCGCAGATACTCAAGTTGTCTGTCACCTGTGAAGACAGTGCAGTAACCACAGCAAAAGCTTCAAGATGTTTCACACCATCCTTTGAACCCTGACCTGAGGGACAGACTCCAGAAGTCTGCAGGCAGCTGGATTCTAGGAGCATTCAGCCTCACTGGGGAGACTGTCAATAGAAGAGCCGTTCTCTGATGTGGGCAGCTCTGCTCCGGGAGCTGGCCTAACAATCACATCACATGGCCTGCCAGACAGGAAAGGACAGTATTCTGGCACCCTGACCTGGGAGAGGAGTGGACTCAGACTGGGGACAGAGAGCTACTTCCAACTCCCACCACAGTCTAACCCTCATAGCGAAGTGCAGCTCTGTGACAAGAAAAAATGCAACTACACAAATCAACCACAAGATGGTGCCAGCATCACAGTGCACTCAATAGACTCGCCCTGGTTCGCCAGGCACTATTCCAACTCCTTATTTACTGAGACTTAGCCAAACATCTGATACATGTTTATAACTTTTAAAAAGACATCTTCAGTGGGGATTATTTATTTGTGTTTTGTTAGGAAAAAATCTTAAGTTTGAAGGGAAAAAATGCAATGCTTAGCTCGATGTTTTTCTCCTTTCACTGTTTCATTTTCTTTGACCATTCTGACATCATGGCCTCTCTGTGCTCACCTCTTGCGCTCTCTCCCAGGGACTGAACCACTATCACCCGTTAAGGCCTGAACCATCTACTTCACACATTTTGTTTCTTTTTCAAGCCTTAGGGAGGTTCGCAGAATACTGAAAACATAAATGAAAAGACCAACACTGTCTCTGCTTGCATCTTCTCAGGGGCTCCTCCCCTGAGATGAGACAGTAATCCACAGCCATTCTGTCTGCACACCACACCAGGAGACGAAACAACGTATGTTAAAGAACTGTACAAACTGCCAATCACTATAAGCTCTCAATGGTAGGTGAGCAGAAACACAAATGTCATACCTTCTCACTCACTTATGCAAACAGATGTCAACCTGTAGAAACACAACAGTGGTCACCAGAGACAGGGACAGGGAGGAGGAGACTAAAGATTATATGAGGTATAAGAAAGTGTTGCAGGGGAGGGAACAGGAGTCATGGGCAGCGAGTGGATAGACTTGATCTACGCAGTGAGCATACGCATGCATGGAAATGCTCCAGTGAAACCTACTAATATGCAAAGCTCATATATATATTAATTAGAACATATTTTAATCTGAAAAATAAAAAGAACTAGTTAGGGGCTTGGCACAGTGGTTAAGAGCACTGGCTGCTCTTCCAGAGGACCTAGGTTCCCAGCAACCACATGGTAGCTCACTACTGTCTGTAACTCAAATTTTAAGGTATCTTCCTCCGCTGGCCCCAGGCATGCACGTGGTACACAGACTTACATGAAAGCAAACTACTGGTGCACATATTTTTTTTTTAATTAAAAGTTTTAATACTAGGCACTGTAAAGCACACCTTTAATCCTAGCACTTGGGAGGCAGAGGCCGGGTATCTCTGTGAGCTCAAGGCCAGCCTGGTCTACAGAGTCAGTTCCAGGTCAGCCAGAGGTACACAGTGGGACCAGCCCTTTCTCAAAAAAAGTTAGTAAATCCACAACTAAAGAGCACTGGTGAAAGATGTCTCCAGACAGCAGAAGAAAGCTGAAGCACCGAGTATATACACAAACACGAACACTTAGTGGTGGCATCAGAAATGAAGTTTAAGTGCACAGTTGTTGGTTCCATGTTTTGTTTTTTCTTTTTTTTCATAGTAGAAAATGTAACCAGGAAAGAAACACTTAACCAAAACATAATTTCTAAATACCTAAAGAAAAGGAGTATACCCAATATTAATCTCTTTGTGGGAATACATAGAATTAAACGTTGGGTTTGGTGATGTAGAATCTTTGGAACTGAAGTAATTTAGTGTCTAACATGAAAAGACTAAAACGAAAACCAAGTGTTGTGGGCTGAGATGTATCTCCAGGCTTCCAGGCTGAAGCCCTAGTTCCCATCGCAGCATGTAGATAGATGGGTTTCCAGAACAGGTCTTCTAGGAGGTAACTAAATTCCAATGAGGCCATGAGTTAGTGTGTGCAGGAGATTCTGTAAGGACAGGAAGAGGCCACCTACAAACAGGAGAGAACCCTTGCAATTGGGTGACCTTACCACTCCTTTTTGGGCCTCCAGACTGTGGCCTTCTGTTAAGACGGCTCTCCTAAATGATACATTTGCTGCTGGGTTTTAGGGTGCTTGAGGGGGTACTCAAAAGAAAAAGGTATCTACAAAAGTATTCCATAAAAATGAGATAAGCAAATTAAAAATAATCCTTATGGATATTTTACGGTTATCATCACTTATCATTGCACAGTAATCTTAGAATTTTCTAAGTATAAATTTGACTTGACAAGTTCTGTTTTTTTAATCTACCATATAGGGTACAAATTATTAAGTCAGTGTAATTTTCTTCCTAACCTCTCATAGAGCAGCTGGAGAAGACTTGATGCGTGGCGCCCAGGAACTAAATGCTGACATTCAGACCCATTGTGACCCCCACTGCCCCACTTTTGCCTATGTTAAAAATGAGGACACACGGCACTTACATCAGAGTGACTTCTGGTTTGGGACATAAATGTCCCTCCCAAAGCTCATGTCAAGGCTTAGTGGCCTGCCTGCCGGTGGTCCTACAGGAAGGGGTAGTCTTTAGGAAATGGGGCCTGTGACGGGAAGTCAGTCACAGAGAGCGGAATATCCTGCACAGGGTCAGGCCAGTGCCCACTTTCTTTCTCTCTTTGACCCTGGCCACCACAAAGAGCACTGCTTTGCTCCGGCACCATGTTCTAATAGCCATAGATTTGGCTCTGTCTGCCTTTCCTCCTTTCTTGCCAGCTCTCTCGGCACCCTCTCACCATCTCTCACCAAGGCTGAGGAACACAGTGGCTAATGCAGCCATCTTACTTCTCAGGGCGTTTCCCACTGAGATGTACAAGCAGAATGCTTCCAAGCCTCAGAAGCTTTTCCCTTAACCCCACTGCCACTGACGGAAAGGGAGAGTGCAGTCTGGAAGGGACAGCCAGACACAGAAGGACGGATCCTTATCAATTCTTGACTTCCCCTATAAATGTGAACCTCCGATTCACAAACACAGCAGATTCGTGTAACAAAACATAACTGTGTCACTCACAGGGAAAGGGACAATTCTGTCTTCACACGCATGTTCTTTTACTTTAAATGTGACGGGTATGAAACTTAGTTTGTTTACTGAAATCCTAGTTTGCTGTGACCATCTACACAAGAACCATTGCACTCATTACTGTCTCTCTTATCATTCACAGTATTTTATCAAAGCTTTAATCTGAACCCTAAAACAGTGGTGGAATCCAAATGACCTAAAATTTACTACTTTAGGTCCTTTGAGGTGCCTAGCCTACTGGTGCTAGACAAATTCACGGTACTGAGCTGTAGAACTCTGCTTCTTGTAGAATGGAAAGTCTACACATCTAACAGCTGGAGGCTCTCCTTGCCCCATCCCCAGCAAGTGCCATTTTACTTCCTGTTTCTGGGTCTGACCATTCTAGAAACCTGGCACAAGGTGACATATGCCTCATGTGTCTTCCGGGAGTGACTTGCTTCCCTTTGCCTAATGTCCTCAAGGTCCTGCTGTTTGTAGCATCTTCAGAAGGCTGACATGACAGCTGGGTTTGCAAACTCAGATCCTCAGGCCTGTGAGGCAGCTGACCCGCTGAGCCACAGACTCAGCCCCATGAACTCTAAAGGCCCGAAACACTGGATTTTGACATTCTAACTGATGGGGAATGTACTGTGTATGTTTATCTTATTGATTGTTAAATAAAATACAGTTTGGCCAATGAGACAGCAAGTTAGACGGGAGTAGGAGTCAAAGAGGACTCTGGGAAATGTAGTAGATAAGTGGTGATCCAGGCAGGAAGTGGCATAGCAAGGAGACTCATATCTAAGCGAGGAAATAGGAAGCCTTTTTTCCCCTCCGCTCCTGTTCCAGCAGCACAATGTGATCCACCGGCAAGGAGGGACGCCAATAAGGTGTCCGATAAGTCTTATAAAATATATAGGTTTATGATAGTTAAGACTGAGCTAACAGATGAGAATCCTAGTCATTGGCCAAGCAGCTTTGAACCTAATACAAGTTTCTGTGTATTCATTTGGGCCTAACTCAGGCAGGCAGCTGGCGTAAAGCTCACACGTGGCAGTGGGGCTCAAGTGGCTTTTGGCAGAAAGATTTATCGTAACATCTAACCAATGCTAACTGCCAGTAAGTACCATGCAGACTCAAGGACTGTGTAAAGTGGATCTAGCTGAGAGCCATGTCCCTCAGCTCCCCTCATTTGATACCACTACTCCCTGAGATCTCCAAGTCCTAAACAAATCTCTTGTTTATCTTATGCAGAAGCCCTGAGACTGCGTCTACTGCTGACCAAGGCATGGGGAGGAAACAGCAAAGAAATGAAGTGAAAATCCACACTGAGGAGCCTGAGGGCAGAAGTGAACTCACAAAGTCTGTCTCCAGCTTGCCCATTTCTTGCTTGTAGCTTCGCATTCTGTTGCTGTACATTCCTCGACTTTGAGGCGGGATTTCTCGGACTTCCAAATCCATTTGCTCAAGCTGAAGATGGGAGAGAGAAATGTGAACCACACGCATATTCTTTATTCGCCCAAGTGTTAGTGCTAAAAGGACTGGGTTCTAAGCCCTGGATTTGCAGCTGAGGAAGCAGAGCGATGGCGCTGGCTGCTCAAGATCAGGTATCGCTGGAAATGTTTTAGTGCTTACTTCCCGACTGGCTCAGTAAGCAGCTAGGGAACGGTAGGGGTGCTAACCTGCTTGCTTTGTTGAGAATTTGTTCTGAAAAACATGCATTAATCAAAACACTCATAGTTTGTTCTCAACATCCTTGAGCAGCCCATTGTTCGGTGCAGCCTGACCTGATCTTCTGACTGTGAATCTGTGGAATGGGTGATTGTTTCCTACGGCTCATCCGTGAAACAGCAGCTCAGCTTAGACACGTGAGGAAATTTCTTTGAGAAAGTCTTTCCTAATTAGGAAAATCACATAAAACCTACATGTGACCTCAGCTGACAGCTTAATTCCTACACAGTAAAGCCACACTGATGAGGAGCTAAAAGGATACAGCAATGTTAGTGATGCCCTTGCTCACTGAAACCATAGCAGGCCATGATATATATATATCATGGATATAGCACATATATATATGGATATAGCACATGAGAGTTTATTGGGTGCCAAGAGAGACATGTGATAATGGCTCAGAGCCCCGGCTTTGCAGTGAGACTCTGTGTTCACACTGTAGGCGCCACTACTCACCAGACACAGGGGCTTGAACAGAGGTTTTAATGACCTTTATTATTTTCTTCGCCTCTAAGAATAATCTCTTTCCTAGGATAGGCATGAAAATTAACTGAGCAATTCCTATAATGTACTTAAAGCATGTATCACTAGATTGACAGTAACTATTGCTATAGTTACAAAAAAATAAAAAAATAGAGCAAGCACTCTACAAGGCAACAGAGGGAGCTAATTTGTACATGCCCCTAAAAGAGGAAAAACCTGGAATGAGAGCAAATGGGACCAGATTAAGTCAATAACTTCCACAGAAAAACACAGCAATGCATTTGCTTCTGAGAGCATTCGAACAGGTTAATGACCAACACAAGCTTTGCACCTCCTGTCCACTGGTGGAGACTAAATAACTATAGCAGAATTACAGACAGATCAAACAAGCAATTGTAATTAAGATATGTATTTTTATAAGAAAATAAGATACTTTGAATTAGCCCTCATCAGTGGCATGTTAGGGAAACGCTACAAATGTGGGCTGGGGGGATCACTTCCAGACTCTGCTCTCCATTCTAACCATGAATAAACAGAAGCAGGATTTGCTAACCTAACATTGTGCTTTTAAGTGTTTTACTAAACTTCCTAAAACGTAGACAGAGTCTCTCACTGAGCCCACTGCTCTCCAGTTGGCTAGAATAGCTGCCCAGATCCAAAGATGTGCCCGTTCTCGCTTCCCTCCCAGTGCCAGGTTCAGAGACAGGCACAACCTTGCCCAGTTGTTTACATGACTGATAGGTTTCCAGACTCGGTCCTCGTGCTTGTGTGGCAACAGATAAAATCTTCATTCATCAAGCCATTAGAGTCTCTGACAGCATCACTGTTTACTGCCTTTGTGTTTCAGTTCTTTAAGTTGGCATACAAAGTAGTGGGTTTTACTACAGCATTGTCACACACACACACTTTGTCCTTATTTGTCCCCCACCCCTTCTCCCTCTTGTTGGTCAGCTTCCTCCCCAATTATCCTGTCTTCTTCTCCCATGCCACATACATTCAGTCACCCTCTTTTTTCTCCCTCTCTCTCTCCTTCCTGTCAGAGCTCCCCACCGCTCATTGTCATCTTCCTAGCTTACTGGATCCCCTCTCCCACACCTTCTCTCTCAAAATCTAAGATCTGTGTAGTAAAAGCAAGAAATCTTTGTTTTTTTTTTTTTCAGAATCCGGCTTATTCCACTTAACATAATGGCTTCCAGTTTGATCCATTTTCCTGCAAATGTCATGATTCCATTTTCTTCACAGCAGACTATAATTATACATATGGACCACCTCTCTTTATCCTTTCATCCAGTGGGAGGGAGGACACTGACGCTGCACCCGTGTCTTAGCTATTGTGGACACATGGATATGGAAGGATCTCTGTGATGTGACATAAAAGCCCCTTGGATATATTCAACAGTGGCATCCCTGTATCACTCGGTATTTACAATACTTTTAGCCTTTTAAGAACCCTCCGTATTGATTCTTCATCAATCTTCATTCACGTCCACAGTGAATAAGGTTCCTTTCTCCGACACCCTTGCCAGCACCAGTTACCTTTTGGGGTTTCTTTTATTTCTTTTAATTTTTTGAGGCAGTGTCTAATACAGCTTAGGCTAGCCTTGAACTCGCTATGTACCTGAGGAGAATGTGACCTCTAAGGTTCTTCTCCTCTCCCCTCTCAAGATTACAGCCTTTGCCATCCCTGCCACTCTGCCCAGACAAACAGAACCTCCAGTGCTTTTAGTTTGCATTTCCCAGATGGGCAAGAATGTAAAACATTTTTTACTAGCCTGTTTCTCTGACTGGAAGATTAGTTTTCCTTGTGTCTAGTTTTTGCAGTTCTTTTTGTTTCCTCCTTTATAGTTGGCAAAGAATTTCCCCCCATCCCAGAGGCTGTCTCTTCACTTTGGTGATTATTTCCTTTGCTGTATGAAGCTTTTCAGTTTCATGTAATCTTATCTATCAGTCTTTGCAGTTATATGTTAGAGTCTTCTTAGGAAAGGTCTTGCTTCTGCCTGTATTTTAACGTTTTTTCAGAACGGGAGAGATGGCTCAAGGTGGAGCGTACTTGCTGCCTCGCAGAGGACCTACCTAAGTTTGATTGCTAGAATCTCTGCCAGGTGACTTGTAGCCTCTTATAGCTCCAGCTTCAGGAGATCAGACACCATCTTCTGGCCTCTGTGAGCACCCACATGCGTGTGCACACACATAAATAAATATGCCTGCCATAGCAGTTTCAAGCTTTACATAAAGGTCTTTTGTTCGTTTTCAACTGACTTTTGTGCAGGATGAGAGGTAGGGATCTAGCTTCACTTCTCCACATGTGAAATGCAGTTTTCACAGCGTTATTTGTGGTAGAGGCTGCCTATTTTGCAATGTATGCTTTTGACACCTATGGGGAAAAATACAGGTGGCTGTAGCTATGTGAGTTTATTTATGGGTTCTCAATTTCATTCCAGCGGTCTACATGGCTGTTTCTATGCCAGTACCCATGCTGCCTTAGTCACTATGGCTCTGTAGTATGATTTCAGATCCAGAGTCATGGAGCTTCTAGCATTGTTGTTTCTGCTTAAGAATACTTTGGCTACAAGGGACCCTTTGTGGTTCCATATGAATTTTGGGTTGCCTTTTCTAGCTTTATGAAGAATGACACTGGGGTTTTTGACAGAGTATATTAAACATGTAGATAATCTACAATAATATAGCCATTTTCATAATACTAATTTGCCAAACCATAAGCATGGAAGAAGGGCTTGTCGTCTTCTGGTTCTTTTTCAACATCATCAGAGTTGTAAAGTTTATATTACAGAGGTCTCATGTCCTGGATAGATTTGTTCCTATTTCTTCTCTTTTTTGAAGAATTGTGAATGGAAATTTTTTCTCCTGATCTCTTCCTTGATAAGTCCATTCATTAGTTACTGATTTTTGCATAATGATTTTGTATCCTACTGCTTGGTTGCAAATGCATACTAGGTCTAAACACTGTCTAGTGGAATCTTTAGGATCTTTCAAAATAGGGCCATCTTGTAAGGGTGATAAGAATCTGGGCAGTGGTGGCTCACGCCTTTAATCCCAGCACACGTGAGGCAGAGGCAGGTGAATCTCAGTGAGTTTGAGGCCAGCCTGGTCTACAGAGTGAGTTCAAGTACAAGCTCCATAGCTACACACAGAAACCCTGTCTTGGAGGTGGGGGAGGGGTGATAAACTGGCGTCTTCCCTCCCTGGTTGTATTTTTTTCATTTCTTTCTCCTCATATTACTCTAGCTAGCACTCCCAGCACTATACTGAATAAGACTGGAGAATTATTTACTTCTTACAAGGTGAAATAAGTCTTATTAGAATCAGGAATAAGAACCACATACACTCATTCTGTTCTCACAACACTTGTGTAGCCATTGAAGAGTACAAGACATGGTAAGCACAATAAGTACAGTGCCCATAGATTATTAGAAACCACAAGATTGGCAGAAAGACAACCATCCTAGCAGTCAAAACAAAATCAAGCTTCTCTGTCAGTTTCCTAATCAAAATTAGGAAACTCCTAGCAGTCAAAACAAAATCAAGCTTCTCTGTCAGTTTCCTAATCAAAAGAACAGTATGTAATCTAAGATACCATTAAAACTAAGTAATTCAGCTTTCTGAACATTTTAATCAAACAGAAAAGTTTATTTTAGATCCAAATCTTTTTGTTACTAATAATAAAGTATTGTAAACTCCATGAGGGCTTGGTTATGGTCAAATCAATGCTAAAAAAACAAACTTTCTCTCACTATCAAGTAAACAAAATGTCTCCGGAAGGTAAAGAAATAAAAACAGTAGTTCCTAAGAGGAAAAAAGGTGCCAATAGGACTTTAACATTTATAGTCACCCCCAGCCAGAAGGAAGAAGTACACTGATTGGCTGCTCTGGCATCTAAGGTCAGTGTCTTCACATGGAAGGCAAGAAGTGTGAAAGAAACAGTTACTATAAGAGAAAGGATAAAGAAGAAAGGCAGGCATTAGGGGATGAGGAAAGGGAGACAGAGACAGTGGCAGAGACAGTGGCAGCAGCCCAAAGCAACTACAGGTCATCTGGCATGGAGACAGTCGGTCATTCTGACCACAAGGAGACCCAGACATGGAAACTGAGGAGCAACTCTGTAGGTCCCTGTCATGTCAGTCTTAGACCCCAGGAAAGGTATGCTGTGCAAAGAGGAACAACTTCCTCTTTGAAATCCCAAACCTGCTGCCTCTAGTATGTGGTTCACCAACAAGTATCATCCATCGAAACAAGACCCTAGAGAAGTCTCTGCCCTCCCAGAGACTCAAAATGCCTTTGTGCTGCCTAAGGGTCCAAGGAGGCTCTAGTTGTAGACACCCAGGCACAAAGCCGACAGAGCATGCAGGAGGGTGTGGGACCTCAGGAGCATCTTGAGCCCTCCTAAGCCTTGGTCCTCGTCTATAATGGTGGCGGCAACTATCTGAAGACCGCTCTACTGTGATTCTCTGATGTTCCTACAAGGTTCTCTGAACATGAGCATGACGTTCTAACGACTCTGTCCACACCGTATCTCAAAGTCCATCTACAGAGAGTAACTGAGGAATGAAATTTTAGGTCTCTCTGGGACAAAGAGCAGGCTTGCTTCCAGGCTGCTGTAAGTGGCTTATTGCCTAAGCTCTGTGCTCCAGGTGGAAACAAGTACTTGTATCTCCCCTGTGGAAACTGGGACTCAGGGAACTAATGCAACCAAGCTGATATCCTGGCAGCTACTTCTATTGTATCAGGAGGCTTCAGTTTCTGACTCAGGAGTCTCATGTCTTGAGAGCTGAGGCAAATAGTGCACTCAGAAAAATGCTTGCCACACAAGCATGAGGACCTGAGTTCTGATCACCAGCAACCACATAAAGGAAGGCTAAGGCAAGATGCATGCCTGTAATTTCCATCAGTGGAAAGGAGACGCAGGATCTATGGAGCTTGATGGACAGCTATTCTAGCTGAGTCCAGTGAGCCTGGGGTCCAGGGAGAAACACTGCCTCAAAAGAGAAAGAGTAGAGAAACTGAAGAAGACACCTGATGTCACCTCCTGGCCTCCATGCCCATATATACTTATGTGCACAGGTACCCACACACACACACACACACATGCAAATGAGCAGGTACCCCCCCCCACACACACACATACAAAAGAGCAGGTATCTCCCCCCCCACACACACACATGCAAATGAGCAGGTACCCCCCCCCACACACACACATACAAAAGAGCAGGTATCTCCCCCCCCACACACACACATGCAAATGAGCAGGTACCCCCCACACACACACACACACATGCAAATGAGCATGTACCACACACACACACACACATGCAAATGAGCAGGTACACACACACACACACACACACACACCCACACACACACACACATGCAAATGAGCAGGTACCCCCCCCCCACACACACACACATGCAAATGAGCAGGTACCCCCCCCCCACACACACACACATGCAAATGAGCAGGTACCCCCCCCCCACACACACACACATGCAAATGAGCAGGTACCCCCCCCCCACACACACACACATGCAAATGAGCAGGTACCCCCCCCCCACACACACACACATGCAAATGAGCAGGTACCCCCCCCCCACACACACACACATGCAAATGAGCAGGTACCCCCCCCCCACACACACACACATGCAAATGAGCAGGTACCCCCCCCCCACACACACACACATGCAAATGAGCAGGTACCCCACACACACACACACACACATGCAAATGAGCATGTACCCCCCCACACACACACACACATGAGCAGGCACATACACATGCATACACAAGAAATCCCGCATCTTCTGTGGGCATACATAGAGACTGGCAAGCTTCGTCAGCTTCCAAGTTGGTGAAAATCTCAGACCTTTGTCAGTTTTGAAGACAAGTTGTCTAACAGGGGGTTTGAAAGTTAAAGATTATAACACAAAGAATGCACTTACCCTAGTGTGTAGTGTACTTTACCAAACATTAGCTACTAAGATCATGTATTAAGAGACTGGTTCTTAGCAGGTGCTTTCAAAAGGATGTAAATTAGAGTCTGGGATGTAAATTAGAGTCTGGCATTTAATGAGCCACCTTTATGAAAAAGAATAAAATCTCTAGAAGCTATTAAACCCCTTTTAATCTGAAAAGGGATGAACTGTGAAAGAGCTTGAGTGCATACTGTTCCACGAGTGTCCATAGCAAACATGGCAGGCTCTGGGGTTCAGCTAAGGGGCTGTGTTCAATATAAGGCTACGCACCAATTCTCTGGCCTCTTCAAGCTGTTTCTCCACGTTGGCAACCATTTGCTTCTTCTCATCTAAAACAAGCAATAATATCAAAGAAATGATAATTATGCAACATAAATGGAATATGCAGTGTTCTCAGCCTTCCTAATGCTACAACCCTTTAACAGTTCCTCATGTTGTGGTGACCCCCAACCATAGAATTATTTTCATCGCTACCTCATAACTGTAACTTTGTTACTGTATGAGTCATAATGTAAATAACCATGTTTTCCAGTTGTCTTCAACAACCCCTCTGGAAGGGTCATTTGACCCCCCCTAAAGGGTCAAGACCCACAGGTTGAGAACTACTGCACTAAAGTCTTTTATTTTAATATACCCTTGTCCTTTCTGATCAAACAGATCAGAAAATGTAAAGCAAGCAGGTCATTCTTTGGGGGCTGGAGAGATGGCTCAGCAGTTAAGAGCACTGGCTGCTCTTCCAGAGGCCCTGAGTTCAATTACCAGCAACCACATGGTGGCTCACAACCATCTAGAACTATAGTCTCATGGGATATGATGCCTTCTTCTAGTACGGAAATATAAAGACAAACAAAACACCCATATACAGAAAGTACATAAATAAATAAATCTTTTTTAAAAATCCTTCTTTGGTAAGTTACAGACTACACTGAACATTGACCGTGGAGTATATGGAAATACATAATCCAAGGAAGGGTAGAATTTTTAAGAGGTCATGCATATAAGGGAGACTAAAAAGAGCTTTGTTCTCTGACAGAGATTATGCCAACAACAGCAGATACAGTGGTGACCTAGGAAATCTGCTAAGTCACCAGTGTAATAAAAAGCAATCACTGATTTGTGACTGCTTAAAACTTATAGATAAAGACATTTCCACAAACTGGGCAAGGTCTTGTAACTCTTTACTTTAATGCTTTTGATAGTGTTAAGAATAAGGTATGAGGCTGGAGAGAGAGAGCTCAGCAGTTGAGAGCACTGGGGCTCCTGCAGGGGAGCAGGGGTCAGTTCCTAGAAGCACGTGGTGGCTCACAATGGTCCAGGGGATCTGGAGCTGGTTGTCCCTCCAGCATGGCATGCTTGCCGTGCACACACATGCAGGCAAACAATGATAGACATAAAGGAAATGTTAAAAAGCTTTAAAAAAAAAAAAGAGTAAAGTATGATAGAAGAAATAGATCATTAAAATCTTAACTTCTGATTCCAAACCCAAACCAGTAAAATCAGTCTTACTACTGGTTTGGGATCCTGGACAACAGTTTCATTTTAAAAACTTGGCCTGTATTTTCTAAGTGTGTGTGTGTCTCTGTGTGCGTGTCTCTGTGTGAGTGTGTCTGTGTGTGTCTGTGTGTGTGTGTGTGTCTGTCTCTGTGTGAGTGTGTCTGTGTGTGTGTCTGTCTCTGTGTGTGTCTGTCTGTCTGTCTGTCTGTGTGTGTGTATCCCAATGAATGACTTCTATACTGTGAAGTGCTGAGTCTCAATGGTTTACTTAGACACTGTAACAAGCCATCAGGTAGCCACGGCTCCCTTCTCTAGCAGGTCAGATTCATTCACAGACCCCACCAACACTTCATGTTGAACATTTTTAGCTCTCTGCTCAGCATCCTTCTTCTCAAGCAAGAGCTCCATTCCTCTGAGACTCCTACCTTGAAGGAGGACAGGGAAGTGCTGTTTTCTTCTGTAACTCTGCCTTCCAGTCATAGTGCCTTGAAAGCAACAGCTGGACTCATCTTAACATGGCTTGATCCCTTGCTCACACTGGGGTCAGGGGGTTACATAACCAAAGAAGTCAGCTACCTTTCTAGAACATACTGATCTCCTTGCCATCGTAAGGAGGGTGGGGGCACCCTTGACATAAGAACCCTGTCAGCCACCACCTCAGGCAGGTAGTAAAATCTAACATTAGCAGGGAGAGGCATACTGGGTGTGTCCTCTTGGCATCATGGGAAGAAAATGATCAGTTTGGTTCTGTCTTCCCTGACACCCATCACCCAGACTAAAAAGGAAAAGAAAAGCAAACAAACATAGGGGAAAATGATCAGTTTGGGTCTATCTTCCCTGACACCCATCACCCAGACTAAAAAGGAAAAGAAAAACACACAAACCAAGGGGAAAATCCCAATCAAGGAATGTTCTGCCAGTGTCTTACTGTTACTCCAGTAAACCATTTGCTCCTTAAAAGCAGGGGCATTCTGAACTTACAGGCCACGAGAGTCTAAACAACTCTGATTATTTAATCCTTTGTAGGATCCATACCTGGATCCTGGAGCAGCAAAAGGGCATTTGGTTTAAAAGGGAAAAGAATTCTTTCTACTTTTAACTAACATGATGTGGATAAAGTACGGACTTCAGTCAAAACTGAATAATATGGATTCAGAACCTGTAGCAAACGTATCAAGGTGTGGTGTTAACGGGAGTTGTTGACATGGGTACATGGAGTTATTTTTGTGGTTTTTATATAATTTCTACTGTTCTAAAAGAAGAAAATTTAGGTCCAGGAGTATAGCTAGCTGAGTGCATGTTTAACAAGAGATAAATAAAGCCTGGGGTCCAACCCCCAGTACCACAAATACAAAATGAAGCTCTGACTTAAAATGACTAAACTGTCTCAGGGTGCAAGATCCTTCTGGATTTTGAGAGTAGACAATGTGTGAAAATGTAAACATGAAAAAGTATATGTATGTATACAGGACACACATTTCTATGTGTCTACTATCCAAAAAGCACTACAATTCCATAAATACTTGTTTATAAAGTGTAACTGAGCCATAGGTAACAACTGATGGCTGTTTGTCCAATCTACTCAACTGAAACGTATCATGACTGCCTGCGTCAATGGTCAGCTAAGCCTTCCAGGGTGGTACAGTTCCCCCATGAGATTCCAGCATCTTAAAAGAGACCTTCTTTGCTCCATCACTGCTATTCCCCTCTGTCCATTTCCTTCCTTCCACTCCCACACCCCGAACCCCTGAGCAGGAGCCTACTTTTCCTTGAATGCAGGTTTTCATCAGGAGACCTTGACCTCACCCGAGTTTAGGCACAGAAAGGAAGTGGGGATTTAAGTGCAAGGTTCTCTATAAAAGTACGGTTAAGAGGGCAAAGTTTGAAGAGCTAGATCCTGGCCAACCCTGCCCACTGCTGAATGAGGCGCAGAAGATTAAATGATATACCCCATGACTAGTTTGCTATGCTTTCTCTTGTTTGCATCGCAGGCCTCATTTGCATTTTACAGCATTGTAAGACTGGCATAATCACCCTTTCCTTCCCATTCTACAGATGGAAGAGGCAAGCTTACAGAGGCCAAGAGATCTGTTCCCAACCACCTGTGTAGTCAGTTAAGGCAGAAGTGGGATCCTAAACTGGTCTGACAGCAGCAGCCACCAAAGATTGGTACATTCTAGCCATAACCCTTCTGTGTCTGTGAATGGGGAGCTAAAAGAGTGATTATGAAATGAGCTTCTGGTGAGGGTCCTCCAAGACCTCCAATGTAATGGAAGCCCCGCCTCTGTGGGATTCTCTCACTCTTAGGGAACTCACTCCCAACACCACAGAAGCGGGGAATTTCCAAATCAAGTAACTTATGGTCCCAGCTCATTGACTTCCCAAGAAAACAATAATCATTAAAAATCAATCTCTAAATTCAGTAACCTCAGAGCATTCATTAGGGACTTGCCCATCTTTAAAAAAGAAATCACAGATATTAAAATTAATTAAGATTCAAACACTTCAAAGAGCAAAGTTTTTATTGATAAGATATTACACAGCAATCACGTTTCTTTTTAAAAATCAAATTTCAGAATTGTTCTATGTGGAAGTCACCTTAATACGAATACATTATGCATGCATGACAGAGAGCAGTTCATTTCTGCAGATTCTGGGTGCTCCAACCTAAATACATTGTTACTGGGGGAATGAGCTGCTTTGACTTCAAAGTTTGCTTCAATTTTTTTTTGTCTTCTTACCTCAAGAAAATTACAGCTCATCTTCTGGTCTATTTCAGCTAAGTGATACAACCACTATGATTTGGTGGGATGTTATAATTACCAGCAGTTATAATATTAATATAATATTAATTAAAAATAAAAAGCGCTATGCTCAGCAAGCACACTGCTTATGCTGCTAATTACTGTTAGTTCATAAACTCATGGAAAGAAAACATCTTTTTTCTGTCAATTAGGAGCAGATTAGAAAGGGAGCAAACAAGTCACTATTGAGAGGAAAACCACTGTATTTTACAGCCATTTATTTATTCAAGTACAAACTTTTTCCTACAGTGCCAGCAAGCAACACAGTCTCCTTCCAAATGAAATATGTTTGTTGTATTAGGGCCTCACATTACACTACATGTAAGAAGAGGCATAACAGTATCTTTATTTTTTAAGACACTTAAGTCAACTATTTCCTGTTATGTGGTAAGGATTTTAAACACAAAGACAAGAAAACACAATTGGAACAAAATTTTCTTAAGAGTCTTCACAACTCTGTACCCTGGATAATATTATTTTCTAAAACAGTCTCTCAATACTAAAGCTATTTGCCCAAGAAATATTTCTACTGCTAAAAACAAACAAACAAACAAATAAAAAACACATTAAAATTCAAAACAAGCAAAATCCAACTGAAGCTACAAGTCCTGGTGCTCTGAGCCTCTGGGACTCAAGTCAAAGACAGATGTCTCAGACAACAGTGACAGCAAAATCAAGATGATCTTGGGCAAAGGGAGGAGAGTGGGAATGAGGAGAACAGGGGAGGTGAAGTGTGGTGAGGGCAGAAGAGGCTATCATCCACTCTGTCCACCAAAAGTCTCTGAGGCCACACAGCTCCATGGAAAATGCTACCTCGGTTCTCTCCTCTGGTTCCCTCACTTGAACTCTACCCTCTTTAAGTCATCATCCACCTCCTTCAGAACTAACGGGGGACTTCGGGAGATGAGTGGGATGTAAGTTCAGAGGTCCTGGCTTCAAGCAAATCTCCCTAATAACAGAAAACAGGTGGGGGGGGGGGAATAAAGAAAAGAAAATTATTCATGACACAAAGATTGAGGGGGAAATCCTGGAAAGGGGATGAGGAACAACACCTCAGACCCAAGAGAAGCCACTTTTGGCATCCTGGGCTGGGCTGACCAGGTAAGAAAGTGACTTTACCCACAATTCTGCCGACCAGTGAGAACCAGATGGTTCTCAGACAATTTCAGAAATTCCAGACAATTTCGTTCAATTTCCCTAATGAAACCAAGCCCGAAAAAATAGTAATAGGCCTTTTAATTTTCTCCTAACTACTTAAGTTAAATCTGTACTTAGAGAAAAAATAAACCCTAAAACACTATCTTACAAATCACAAGATACCATATTACAGTTACCTGTTTATTCTAAAGAACATTCACTCTTCTGAGCCCTTAGAAAAGAAATGTCACGGAAATCAGACATGACTCCCACCTTCACACTGTTGCCAACCTAGCATGGAGGGAAATGCCTGGAATTTTACGGGTGAGCAAAATTACTCTGTGCAAAGTTTTACACAAAATCGGGTTATAAATACCCAAGAAGGATGAAAAACACAAAATTGGGGCAGAGGTCTGAAAACTATGAATCCTAACAACTGCTAACACAAAAGGTGTCACAGACGTGTGTCGTTGAATATTTGATGAGAGAAGTAGAATTGTCTCTAACCGAGAAGGATTGAAAGATTTAAGAAAACTTGCCTAGGAGACAATTTCTAAGTGTCAAGAGCTGGGATGGCATTAAGGCATTCTGGCTTGTCACTGAAATGTGCCTCGAAGAAGGATAACAATTATTTACTAAAAGTAGTCTTGACACTTTCATACATTTTCTTTGAATACCCTTATCTTTATAATCCCCCCACCCAAAAAAAAATGCAATGTTCCCAAGGTGACACAAGCTTTAAAAGCCTCGGAGTGGGAATTCAACACCAGCCCCTAGATGGTTTCCGTGCAGGAGGGCTCTTTGCATTTGCAGCACATTTGGAGACTAATAACTACCTAGGACCCAGTCAGGACCTCCGGGGCCGCCAGCATCGCCCACAGCAGCCTCGCTCCTGGGAGAGCTGCTTGCCCAGGCGGCGTCCCCGGCTCTCCAGGCCGCCCGCGCCCGGCCGGGCAGGGCACTCACCGGGAGGGAGCCGAGGGACCCTGGAGATCTTGCTGGTGATCTCGGCAGTGAGCACTGCGAAGTCCTGCTCGTAGCCTTCGAAGTCGGAAGACATGGCAGCTCGGAAACGGCCGGCCGGAGCCGGGGTCTAGCTCAGGGCAGGACTCGGGAAAGGCGCCCGGCCTCGGTGCAGGGACCCCGGGAAGAAACCTCCACGGCGCAGCGGGGACCGGGGGCAACTCCCAGCCCAGCCGCTTCCTGGTTGTTCTTCACGATCTCTGTCCTCCGGAAACTGAGCTGCATGCGCCTTTTCTTTTCCACCCAGTAGTCTTCGAAGGTGAAACTAAGGGAAAAAAACTTCACTTCCAGCGTCGCCTAAAAAAAAAACTCCGAGAACCTGCGTGCTCTCGGGGAATCACCAAAGGCAGTCTCCACACTCCGCATTTCGGGGAAACGGCTGGAGTTTCCCCGAGCTCTAAGTGGTTGCAGGAGCTGCTTCCCGAGGGAAGATTGACGCGGCGGGAGCCGCCGGAAGTGGCTCTGGCGAAGCTAGCGCCGAGGCTGGGCGGGAGCCTGGCTGCGGCCGCGGGAGCACAGACTCGCGGCGCGGGGCTGGTCGCGCACTCCGCACCTTCAGGCTCCGCGTGCGGCTTGCTCGGGACCCATGTGCTCGGGACGGAGCTGTAAGGAGCAGAAAACCCGTTCCGGGTGAACCCGGGCCGTCCCGGAAATGCGATGGCCGTGGAGCGGGCACCGGAGTCCGGACTGAGGTGGGAGTCTCCGCACGGGGTGCAGCCCGCGAGTGGGGCGGTTGTCGCCCCGACCCGGCCGGGCCTGGGGTCTCCAAAATGTTGAGCCCAACCTCAGTCTGTAAGACATGTATCTCGTGAGAGAAGACCCCCCCCAGGGCGTCCCGCACCACGGCACGGGCGGGAAACTGAGGTACCCGCGGGGGCCACAGCTGCGTGGGGACCGTTACGCAAACGTCATCCCCACGTGTCCCGGGTCTTTTCCCGACTCGTCCCCCTCCATGCAGAACTCACTTCTCCAACTGTTACCCCGTGCGAGCCTTCTTCCCCCCCACCACCACCCTCCCCCGCTCGCCCCCGGAGGGAATTGATTTTTTTCTCCTAAATAACCTTGTTTGTGCTCGTTCTCGTGCGCTGCTTCAGTTGTGATCACACACACTCACACACACACACATCCTTGTTTGTGCTCGTTCTCGTGCGCTGCTTCAGTTGTGATCACACACACACACACTCACACACGCGCGCGCCGGTTTCTTGCCTTGCCTTCACCCTTGTTCCTGGACCTTTAACCCCGATCCATTGTTAATATTGGCGCTTGCGGGAACAACTGCGGGTTATTAATACGCCAAGTAGTATATGCGTAGAGCCCGTTACACTAAATCCACATAAAGGAAGTTTGGTGCCTTGGCTTCTGTTCTGGGCCCCGCTGTGACTTGTGACCTTGGCTTAATCACTCAGCCTCTCTAAGCCAGTAGGAAGACTTGAGATAAGACCCTGTTTCTTAGCTCACTGAGTCTCTGTTCTCTAAACTCTCCACTGAGCACAGGATAGTCAATCCTTTCTGACACTTTGAACAAAGGAGTAAACCTATTAAACCTGTACTGTTTACATGCAGTTCAAGCTTGAATAACTGTATTTTGGATTGGTCCAACGTAATATTTTCTTGGCCTCGATAAGACATTGGCCTCACACTAGCGCCCTGTGGAGGTGCCGTTTCACCTTCTTGGAGTTAAATGAATGGCATATGGAAGTTTTAATCGGAATTTGCCCGTTTTTGTTTTCTTTAGGTTGAGTTTCAAATCAGCTTAGATATAAAGTGTTCTGGATGTCGACAGTGAAAATGGCATACTCCAGGTCAACATTCTGTCAGCCAAAGGCATGACAGTTCGGGAACACGTGGACTTGTTGCGTATAGAAATGTGCGCACAGAAAAAGAAACTCTCTGGTTCTCTAGATGAAGGAAGGTGTCCAAAATGGGCACATTCTGCTCAGTAATCAAGTTTGAAAATCTTCAGGAATTAAAGAGACTGTGTCACTGGGGTCCCATAATAGCCCTTGGTGTTATAGCGATATGTTCTACAATGGCCATGATCGACTCTGTGTTGTGGTATTGGCCCTTACATACAACAGGAGGCAGTGTGAACTTCATCATGTTGATAAATTGGACTGTCATGATTGTCTACAATTATTTCAATGCCATGTTTACTGGCCCTGGCTTTGTCCCTCGGGGATGGAAACCGGTAAGAAAATGATCCATTTTGACAATGATCACGTCATAATTTTATGTGTAATTTGCCATGATAATTATATTTTGGTTTTGCTTTATCAACTTTTGTCCTGGGAGACACAGTGTGTGCTACACAGTCACTGATGATCACTTGTGCTTAGAATTTATGTCTTTTTGAAATATTGATCTATATTAGCTATTCCAGAGCAATTGAGTACTTGTTCTTTAGGTGGTTTTGTTTTGTTTTTTAAAGAAAGAGTGTGTGTGATAGTTCATGCGTTTTGTCTCCTCACTTGGGAGGCAGAGGCATGTCATCTTTCCAGCTGCCACACTGAGTCAAAATTTCCAGAGAGAAAGGGAAGAGGCGGCCTCAGGCTGGTAGGAATACATACCCAGGAAATGCACAGCCTTGTGCGACTGTGTCGTATGGATAAGGGTGAAGCAAAGACAAGTAGGTCAGAACCCATGGGGGCCACTTGTACCGAGGGCTATGTACAGGTATCGGGCAAAGCTCTGGGAGGGCTGGATAGGAGCATGGTTTTGTAATGAACAGATTTGGATGTGAGAAACACCGGCTAGGGAGTTACTGATATGACATTGAGGAGGGGAGACGACAAGGGCAGCGTCAAGGAGCAGGAGACTTGAGAAAGTGTCAGCCCGTACTTGACTCTGAAATACCAGTCATCTAGAACAATGCTAAGATTCAGGTGAGTAGAACCAACTGACACTAGACTTGGGTTGAGCATGGAGAAAAAAGAAAAGAAAAATGACCTCTAAGCAATGTGGAGAATGAAGCTGTTCCTACAGTTCGCTTTAAAGTATTTTAGCATACGTAAAGGTATTTATGCTTGTGTAGAAACCTTCATTTATGCAGTCTGCTTTATTACTGTTTAGGATCAGGTAACTAACATTGTTTTTTTCCTTTCAAGGAAAATCCTCAGGATAGCATGTATCTCCAGTATTGTAAAGTCTGCCAAGCATACAAGGCACCACGTTCACACCATTGCAGGAAGTGTAACAGGTGTGTGACTTTTCTGTTTACTGGGGACTGATCCACTTGGTTGGCCACACTTGTTGTTGTATATCCTGTCATGACAATAGAAACGGTTTTTGTTTTCTGCAAGTGCCTCAGTGTACTTCTCTATTGCTTGGAGGATGTATTTAGCTTACCGGTTACAGTCCATCATCAAGGTTAAGCAGGAGCTTGAACCAGAAACTGGGGGATGCTACCCATTGGCTCACTCTTCCTGGCTTACTCGCTACCATTGTAGACAGCTCAGGCCTACCTCCCTTGAGGTGGCACTACTGGCTTACTCGCTACCATTGTAGACAGCTCAGGCCTACCTCCCTTGAGGTAGTGGGCTACCACAGTGGGCTGGATCCTTGAATATCAATTGGCAGCCAAGAAAATGGCACAGATAATTCCCACAGTTGAATCTGATAGAGGCCTTGATCACTGAAAACCCCTCTTCCCAGGTGTGTGTAGGTTTGGAACAAGCTAACAGAAACTAACCAGAAGAGCAAGGAATCCATTTTGTCAAAACTATTATCAAAAGACTTGTATGTAAGACTTTGTTCCCTGTTAAATACCAAGGAAGATAATTTCTTTCTGTTATAAGGAAAAGATTTTTGTAGAAAAATGTATTCCTTTGTAGATGAAGTTTTTTTCCCCACCTGGTCCTGCGGCCCTTCAGCCCCAAATAAACACACAGAGACTTACATTAATTAGAGTCTGTTTGGCTGATGGCTAAAGCTTTTTATTAGCTTATAACCCATTTTATCAATCTAAGTATTTCCACATGGTCTCATCTTACTGGAGACTGCTCCAGCATGTTTGGCTCCATGTCTAACACATACTGTGAGAAAGGCAGGAAGCTATAGCTGCGTTTGGAGGGCTTTAGAGTCATTCTCTAGAGCACATGTGAACTGTACACAGTCATGTTGTTTCTGAGCTTAAGGAGAAGGACAGCTGAGCTTCCTCCTTTGTACTGAGACTCTTGCAGAGCCTCCCAGCTTCTCTAAGAAAGTGGTGGTGGTGGTGCTTTTTCATGACAGGGTTTCTCTGTGTAACAGTCCTGTCTGTTCTGGAACTCACTTTGTAGACTGGGCTGTCCTAGAACGCAGAGATCCACCAACCCCTGCCTCAGACATGTTTATGTTAGAAGCTGTTGTAATATCTGCTTGCTCTTGTGCTATTTAGAATTCTAAAGAAGTCACTATAACTTCAAAAAGCCATAAAGACTTATCTATTTTATGAGAATTAACTCCCTGTGAATCATACTGGATTCCAATTTGCTTGGTCTTTTGAAAACCAGAGCTAAAGGGGACAAGGTTTTCTGCTTTATGCTTCATGCGTTTTTCTTGTTAGATGCATAATGAAGATGGATCACCACTGTCCCTGGATCAACAACTGCTGTGGTCACCAGAACCATGCTTCGTTCACGCTGTTCCTCCTGCTAGTGCCTCTGGGCTGCATTCATGCTGCTTTTATTTTTGTGATGACTATGTACACCCAGCTTTATAATCGGGTGAGTAGGCATCACGACACTACCGTTCCTGTCAGATTCAGTGATGCTATCAAGGAAATACACTTTGTGATTTAGCTAATACAACAGCTTTGCTTGATGTCTCTATCAGTTCCTCCTCTTAATCTTGAAAATGAGGAAAAATTGTTTTATTCTGGAAACTCATCTTTTACGTTCCAGTTGAAGTTTATGCTTATTGTTTTCCTTTACCCATGGTTTCTTACATTTCTAACTTAGTAGTTATGGTGAGTGTAGTGAACAGAAAGACCTTGAAGAAAAAGGCACTGATACTTTCATTTCTGTTCCGTTCAGTGTCTCTAACAGGTTGACAATTCCTTTGTTCATCTGGTACATGGAGCAAGTGTGCTCCTAAAATAAACACATTAAATCAGAAACAGTTTGGGTTGACTTTTGGACATTCAGCCATTAGAGAAAGTTCAGAGGTTGTACAAATAAAATAGGCCTCCAGCAAACACAGAGGGGCAGTCCATATTTGATTTTAGCCAGTTTGTGGTTTGTGCAGTCCTAGCCCAAGCAGTGCTAATCTTCCACTGTTAAGGAATTGGGATTTTTTTTTTAAAGAAGGCAGATAAGAAAAAGAATAAAAAAAATGCACTTCAGAACTTGTTATAAGTTCTTGCAAAATAAAAAAAAAAGAGAACAAAAGGAATCGGGATTTCATATGAGCTCTCCAGATTTTAAATGTTAGCACCTCACTTCTAAGTTGTGATGACCCCCAACCATAAAATTACTTCATTGCTACTTCATGACTGTAATTTTTGCTACTGTTGTGTTTTGTAATGTAAATATCTGATACATAGACTAACTGATATGCAACCCGCAAAGGGGTTTGAGACACTGGTTGAGAGCCACTGTTTTAGAACGTTGTACAGCCCAGGCACTGCACAACTGCAGATCTGTTTTCAGTCTTCCTGGCTCTTAACCACTGGTTATGGACTATGCTGTGGAAGAATGCTGTGATCTTAGAGTAGCAAAGAGAGTGGAGGCATAGTGCTGTTACCTTGGTATTTATAACTATTGATGTTGTAGGGGTTGATCTCACTCTTCTGAGGAAATGACGAAAACTAATATTGAAGAATAACTAATGACGGAGGTGTAGCTGTGTACAGTTCAGTGGTAGATCTCTTGCCCAGCATGTGTGAGGCCTTGGATTTGATTCCTTTCACAAAAAAACAAAGCAAAACAAAAACAAAAACAAAAAAAAATACTGTACATGTCAGTAGGAGCCAGGTGTTCATCAGAAACTGCTGTTTAGTGCAGTTGCTGTCCTTGTTATCTTTTTGTTCATGTTGGGTTTATTGTTGATGTGCCCCCATGCGCAGTGTACCTGTGTGTATGCGTGTTCACATGTATGGAGGCTTGTGGGGTGAGTGTATGTGGAAGTCCAAGGCGATTGCCTGGTGTCTTTCTTAGTGACTGTCCACTTCATTGAGGCAGGTTCTCGTAACTGAACTTAGAGGTTGAGCTAAGATCGGTGCGGATACCCAACTTTGCCTGGGATACCCTGTGTTGGCCTTCTAAATGTGTGGGCGGGCCATCATGCCTGTGGAACATTTATGTAGATGCTGGGGTCTGAACCCAGTCTTCGTTCTTACGCAGCAAGTGTATTGCCCATTGGGCTGTCTCCCTCCCTCTGGTTATGGTGTTGTAAATCACTCTTTCAACAGCATTCCCTCAACAAGCACTTCACGTGTGTGCTGTTGTTGCTTGCAGCTCTCCTTTGGGTGGAACACCGTCAAGATTGACATGAGTGCAGCCCGGAGAGATCCTCTCCCAATCATTCCATTCGGATTGGCTGCATTTGCTGCAACCTTGTTTGCCTTGGGATTAGCACTGGGGACAACCATAGCTGTTGGGATGTTGTTTTTCATACAGGTAACGTTCCTGTTCATCTCTGTTTGAAAGTTGCCATGTTTGGGCTGAATGCAATAAGAAAGAGATAAACCTGCATGTAAAGTTTCAGTATGTGAGGGAAACTACTTTGGCTTACTGTAGACAATTAGTTAATCACCTGTGTACAGTAGATCATTTTGAAATAATTTTGGCAGAATTTCTAGCCACCAATTCGTGTGACGTGAAAATACACTGGCAGAACTCTATAGCTGAGAAAGCATCTCTCACCCAACAGACGCTCATGATCTTCAGGTCACCCTCATAGAGGCCGACAGAAGAGAGCTCTTGTCTTTTCTTCCACACAAGTAAACAAGTGATTGGCAAAAAGGTTAAGAGATTCACCATGGCCATCCATGCGTGTGTTTAGTAAGCATATTTGTCAATGAAAATGAAGAGGGTTCTGGGAGGAATGACTAGAGATTGGATTTTCTTTCCTAATACTTATGAATTAAGAATCATAACAGGTGTAAAATCTTACATGGACCATTCTTTACATGGACTTAGTCATAGCAAAGAAACCAGGGTAGGCATAAGTTTTGTTAGTTCCTTGTGTATCAGTGGGACAGAGACTTCACATAACTCAGGGAGGAGGGGTTTACAAGCTACTGTCCTTGGCTTTGAAAGTTGCCTCTAGCCCACAGGAGGTGGAGCATCATAGCAAGGAGCCTGTAGAGCCTTGTCACAGTATAGTGGACAAGAAGTTCAGTGAGCTGTGGGGAGGGAACCAGTTGAGATTCAACCGCCCAAGACCACGCCTCCAGTGACCTTATCAAACAGCTAAGCCACAACTAGTTTCCAGAACCTCCTAATTTAGTGCTGCCACCTGGGGACCAAGCATTCCAGGTGAACCTGTGGAGGATGCTTCTCATTCAAACCTTAACATAAAGAAAATGTGTAGGTTGACAGAAATGAGACTCTTTTATGTTGTGAATAGATTCATCATCAATTTAAAGTTGGATCCTACCACCCATATAAAAGAAAACTGTGTGTGACTGTATGTGCCTGTTATCACAGTACTAATGTCGAGTGGAACAGACACATGAGGCTTACTGGGCCTTGGTAGCTAAAAAATGTTGAGCTCCAGATTTGATGAGAGATCCTGTCTCAAGGGAATAAAGCAGAAGCTACCACACAGGCGCATACCCACTACACCCACACCCACCTACACCCACACACACAATATTATATACACATGCATACACTATGCATACACATACATAATGGTAATAATTTTAATAGTAAGTAAAATTAAGAACTGATTTAACTACATTACTGTTTTGTTAATATCTTGGAAATCTTGGTACTTAAGACATGGATTCTAATAGAGGTATTGGGTTTAGCTTTGCTTTTTTAGGCACGATGAGTTTGGCATAGAGATGCTATAGTGAATTAATTAAGAACTATTGTAGAGTCAGATAGGCTTCGTGGTACCTGCTCTTACCTCTGCCATCTTTGCTGTCTTCATCTCTGAGGTAGAACAATAAAAACTATCTCAGGGTTATTAGGATGGTAATGACCAAAGTCAACCTTGTTAAATTTCACTGTCATTTACTTTGCAGATAAAAATTATTCTCAGAAACAAAACTTCCATTGAATCATGGATTGAAGAGAAGGTAAATTTTAATAATTGTTTCATCAATCTAAAGTACTGATTACTAATTTAGTGAGTGCTGGAATGTGAAAACTTGGGTAATTGTCTTGCCGCACGAAAGGTGAGCAAAGACAACATGTAGACTTCTTTCCATCGTAGTGAACCCCCACCGAAATGCCTTCTTCACACCCCTGAGCTGCCGTTATCGCTCTCTCAGGCAGAAAGAGAGACAGCCCATTTGGAAAAGTCGGCCTGTACATTGGGCCTGTCAGAACGCCTCTGCTTTCATCTGTTGATGGAAGCTAAGCAGGGCCAGCTGTGGTTAGTACTTGGATGGGTAAAACAATGGTGTAATGAAACCCAGCATCATAGAACTGTCTAGTCCCTGGCATCCGATCTGGATCCCAACTTACAGCAGCAGTTCCCAAACCCAGTGTCTGGGGTCAGTTTACATTCTCCCACATTGCCAGGTTCACTAAAGAGCTTGTGTCTGTGCTGTGCTCACTGATAATTGCCATATTTTCTAAGTGAAAGCATTTACAGACTGTCCGTTCTGTTGACACATTTTGTAAAAGGTAACTTTATTTGACAACCAAAAATAGAAAAAGTGGCCTTGTTTTAAAGATTTACAAATCTCTTTTAATATCTGACTTAACAGAAGACAATTGGAATCTTGTACCTCCTTCTGCATTCAATCTGTTGAGACATTACTTTGGTTGATGTTTCTGAAGAAAATCCAGCTTCGTACAGAGAAGTAGGTAGAGAAAATTGGAGTATTTTGATGGACACTTTAGACTATAATTGACATTCTTTGACTTTACATTAAAACTTGGCACACATCCCAGTGCTGTGGTTGAGACTCAGAATCTCATGTTTGTTTAGCATGGAGTCTGCCATTGGGTCTCACCCCAGAACAACAGAGAACATCTGTCAGTGACTTCTTTTATACTAAAATTCACAGCATTCATATTTAATTATTTATAAGTAACATGTAAAAGTTTTTATTAAAATAGAAACATCTTTGAACATGGGCTCACTGTCAGAGTCATAGCAGAGAATACAAATTTTCCAAAACTTCTCATTTTTCACTTGGAAGCCTGGATTTTCTTCATATGGCTGCAAATGTCTACAGTTGTCTACCTGCTGAGGTGCTAGTCTGACTTTACCTGTGAAAACATATTCACCACTCAAGTTCTTCTCCTCTAGAGACCCCTGCTAATGGACTGCCTAAGTAGTTGTCAGACTTATTGTTTAGGTTAGGGAATAAAGACAAGAAAAAGATGTGTACATGTTCTTTGCACATGCAGTTTTTTTTGTATTTTTGAGATGTGGTCTCACTACATTGCAGAGCCGACTCCACCTCCAGAGTTGTGGGGACATAGGTATATACCTTCATGTCTGCCTCATGTGCAGTTTTATTTCTCCCCATCCAAGATTGTAGCATCTGAACACAGAGGTTGAGTACATTTGCAAACAATGTGGGAACTTAAGTTCCTGGCAGTTGTACCCACCATTGCAACTGTCAGAAAAGTGAAAAGGTAGATAATGTCTTATGAGAGGTTTGTCCTTCCTGAGCCCAGAGAAAAGGGCAGTTTGAGTTCAGCCGCCATAGCTTACATGTTATGAGACTGTTTATAGTGCTCCCTACTGCCCCATCTCACCCTCATAGCTTGGACATCTTACTCTTCTATATCTTTTCCAAGTGTTCTTCCTCTGCCTAGATACTCTTCCCTCTTTTTCCTGACTTTTCTGCTCCTCACAATATAGTTTGGGTATCATTTCTTTCAAAAAAAAAAAAAAAAAGAGCCTTCCTTTACTCCAAATCTGGCTAAGTACTATTTTCTGTCTTTTTTCCTTAAGAACACCATTGGTCTGTTTCCTTTCAGTGTGTGGTATCTTTACCTTTTTTGTTTGTTTTTGAAAGTAGCTTATGATTTGGGTTTTGAAATCAGCCTGTTTTAAAAAGTCTGATACTGTCACTTGGCAAGGCCGATGGTTTAGCACTGAGCTGCACTGCAAGCACCTGAAGCTTTCATTTCTAAAAAAGGGGAGAGGAATTACCCTCTGTCATTCATGTCAACGTGGATTTATAAAATTCAGTAAATTCATATCACAGTTGACAATTGTTTCAATAAATAGCATAATAAATTTGTTGAAATCAAAGGGTTTTTTGTTTTGCTAATGATAATGGCCCTGTATTAAATCATTTTAATCTAGAAATTATTAAAAAGGGTACTTTATCACAGACAAAGCTTCAAATAAGGGAAATAAAACTCATCAAAAACATAAGATTACCAAAAGTAATGTTGAATGTGTTTGCACAGGAGCTACACTTGGAGTTAAATAATGCATGTTTGTACCACTAGGTGGCAGTAGAATTTAACAAATTCAAAGCTAGTTTATTTCACCTGAAAGCTAGCCATTTAAATGCCAAGAATATGAGCTGCGCCATGAGAATATACATGTGTGGATAAAGATGAAGTGTATGTGTTTGTGATGGTATAAAAACAGAAAATCTCCTTTACAAACTTTGCAAAATGTTTTCTGTAAAATAGTGCCTCCCTATTAACCCCTTCCTTTCCATTGGGGACCATAACCCACACTTGTCCTGAGTCTATTAACAGCACCACTTCTTTTTACCTGTACTCTCTTGTGCTGCTGAGCAATCAGGAGCACTGAGAGTTTTCTGCATAGGCTACAGTTAGCTAACTCTTTTACTTTTAAGCCTTTTGAATGCTTGTTCCTAAGACACACCCTGCCATGTGCCTTCTTAGGTATCACAAACAAGGTGAGCATTTTCAGTCAGATCCCCTCTATGCCATGACACTACTGATATTCCAGCAATAAGAAAGTGTTTTATGAATGATGCAAATTTCACAAGTGAGTATTCTCAGTAACTTAGGAGAAGCAGCAGCTATCGCTTTATACCTTTGTTTTCCGCAGGCTAAAGATCGAATTCAATATTACCAACTAGATGAAGTCTTCGTTTTTCCTTATGATTTGGGAAGTAAATGGAAGAATTTTAAGCAGGTATTTACATGGTCAGGAGTCCCTGAAGGAGATGGACTGGAGTGGCCAACAAGAAAAGACTGCCACCCATATAGCCTAACAGTGAGTAGTTTTGTTCAGAAGGCCGTCCTCTTTTCTGGTTTTATTAACCCACTCAACTTCCTGAGACTTCCCAGTCACATAGTAGTAAGTGTGTCTTCAGTATGTCAGAATGAGCCTAATGTGAAATGATTACATAAATTGTTCCAGTATAATAAATACTCGGGAATCAGAAATTGAGATAAAGACCTGAAATATCCAAGGAAAGCAGAGAGTTAATTGGTTTACCCTCTCTCCAATAGCCAGGAAAGTCTCCTTTCTTCCTGTCCTTCTAGAAGTCCTCCTAAGTCCTCCGAGAACTCTATGGCTAATCCTGGTCAGCCAAATCACTGACTCCATCCTTTGAATTGAGGTAGCTTTACTGATAGAGTGGGTTGGCTATATGAACAATTCTCCTGAAACACTAACATCCATAGAGATTCTTAGTATCCTGGCCTCAATTCTCCTGAACACTCCAGGCTAGTATAAAGTCCTTACTCTTTTTTTTTTTTTTTTGGTTTTTCGAGACAGGGTTTCTCTGTGTAGCTTTGGAGCCTATCCTGGCACTCGCTCTGTAGATCAGGATGGCCTCGAACTCACAGAGATCCACCTGCCTCTGCCTCCTGAGTGAGTGCTGGGATTGAAGGCGTGTGCCACCAACGCCTGGCAGTCCTTACTCTTTAACTCTACTTTATACAATCTGGCCTTTAACTCCTTCTGTCCTGTATTGCCACATGAACGCTGTGTTCATCCCCAGCTCTCAACTCTGCCCCTCCGATGCTCCTTGTAAGGTCTGATCCAGCCCTGTCTCTCTCAGCAGTCTAACTTACTCAGGCTGGTTCCATCCTTACTGGGCAGTAGACACATGCCCGTCTTGTGAAGGGATATTTTGCTACATTAAATGGGTAAGAAGCCCGGCTAGCTCAGACGGTAGAGCTTGAGACTCTTAATCTCAGGGTTGTGGGTTTGTGTCCCACATTGGGTGACAAATTGTAAACGGAGTTGTTAATTGGTCTAAATAATAAAATCCCAGAGTCATATACAAAGGACAATGCTGAGTGATCAGAGAGGAGGAGCAAGCCACAGCCACACCTCACCTACTAAGCATCTCCACAGACAAGAGAGCAAGTTCCTGTTTCTGCCTGCGTATATCCTCTATCTGCCTAGCCATCTCACTTCCTGTCTGTCTGTACAGACCTCCAGACCTCTATGGTTAGCTAGTGATGAGCTCCATTCTCTGACCTTCAGACAGGCCTTATTTGTACAAGCAAGATATCACCACAGTCTTATATGTAGCTCATTAAATCTCCTTTTCATTTTTATCTTTAATGTGATTCTAGAACAGAGACTATATTTCCCTGGCTGTGTCTAATACAGTTCTAGTTAGTAGTTGCTGGTTAAAGGGGGAAAGTAGCAAGAATTATGTAGTCAAGACCCATTAATAATGAGTTTTGTAGTTTGTCTGTTAGAAAATCAGTAAGACTCAGTGTAGAAGCTCTGCAGGAACAGAGACTATACCTCCCAAATGCTGGTGCCATGTGAGCATTTGAGGGACATGCAGAAGTGAAGAAGACTCCAGTGAGCAGATTCTGAGAAGATTTGCAACTCAACAAATATGAAATACCAGGAGCTGGGGATGTCCTGGTGGAAGGAGAGAGGCTGCTCAACACTGAGACAGATGGCTTAACCTTTTTCCTTTTGTCTTTCAGAGAGAACAGTTGAAACAAAAGGCAGACAAGAGAGTCAGAAGTGTAAGTGATGTGCTGACTCATGTTTTCTCCAGCCAGGAACTGTATTTCTGTGTATCTTAAAACGGTTGGCTTTTATTAAGAAGTATTCCTTTTTATTGTATTTATTGTTTATATTGTGTATGCTTGTGCAGCACAGAGTCTTGTGAGAGTGCTTCCACCATGTGGTCTCCAGGGATCAATTATCTCCTTATATTTGTTGAAGTTTGGTACAATTCACTTCTTTTAAGACTGTCTCATTATATATTCCTGACTGGTCTTAAACTCAGAGATCTGCTTTCCTCTGCCTCTGGGGAGCTGGGGTCAAAGGCATGTGGCACCATGCCCGGCACAGCACGTACTGTTGACTTTTGTTTTCTTAAAATACTTTATTTTAGCTGGAAGTTTCCAAGGTGTTTAGGCATTGTTATTGCCAACCTAGAAAAATGCCTTTAGTATACCTGATAAAACCACTTAGCAAACACACTGACAGAGAGATGATGCCACCTGTGGCTGAAGAAAGTCTAAATTAAAAATAAATACAAGCTGGGTGTTGGTGGTGCATGCCTTTGATCCCACCACTCAGGAGGCAGAGGCAGGCAGATCTCTGTGAGTTCGAGGCCAGCCTGGTCTCCAGAGCGAGTGCCAGGATAGTCTCTAAAGCTACACAGAGAAACCCTGTCTCGAAAAACCAAATAAATAAATAAATGAATACAGTAAAAATTAAGTTCCTTTTTGTACTGGCCACACTGAGCACTCTGTAGCTGCAAGTCTCTACCTAACAACCCATTCCAGATCACAGGCAGACATGCAGGCACTTCCGTCACTGCAGACCACAGGCAGAGACAAGCAGAAAGCTCTTCTGGACACAGGACTCTGGAGGTCACTTGCTTAGCAGATGTGTGCTTGAATTAGCAGATCAGACAACCTGAGAACACAGCATCATGATTCCCTTCCAGGAAATGGGAATGGTGGGAAAGATGTTTTATCGCTGAAAGTTTGGATCTGTTCTTTAAAACTTTTATTTATGCTTGAAAGAACTCAGATATGGTAAATATTGAGATTGTTCTTCTGACTATTTATGGCAGGTTCGCTATAAAGTCATAGAAGACTATAGTGGTGCCTGTTGTCCTCTGAATAGAGGAATTAAAACCTTCTTCACAAGCCCCTGCACAGAGGAGCCTCGGATACAGCTGCAGAAAGGGGAGCTCATTTTAGCAACAAGAGGGTTACGGTGAGAGATGGGAATGTGGCGTTTCCTTAATAGGAAATGTGGCATCAGCTTCAGAAGTTATTTAATTTAATCTTTTAAATATTTCAGATACTGGTTGTATGGAGACAAAATTCTCGATGATTCCTTCGTAGAAGGTATGGAGGTGGAAGGGTGTGCTTGAAGTATGTGACTGTTAGCAATAACTTCAGTTCTGTAATGACATGTAAAATGCGTTAGGGAACTGTGTAGATACACAAGAATGCTTATGAAGTCCCCAGTAGGCACCTATGGGTGATAGAACAGATTAGAAGACACATGGGCATGACCCAGTGAAAAGAGTCAAGATGGAAACATTACACCCTGTTCTTAGCAGAGAAACAACCAGAGGAGGAGGAAGCCTGCATCCGGGCATCTCTGCAAAGAGGCAGCCAAGCAAGTCCCTGGTTGCAGCAGTGTGCTGTTCGTGCTGGGCCCAGCCAACGGCTCCCTTGACATGCATGCTATGAGGGGATGAGCTGGAGGGAAACTATCCAGGCTGTGCACATGTAAGTGGGGTCTGTGGAGAGACAGCCAGGATCCGGCAGGCTGTGAAGACAGAAGTCTGGCACATGAATTTGAAGCTGTGATTCTTTGTTGGCACCCAGAGCTACTGCATGAGAAGCATAGCCATGCCACTGCCTTGTGAGCCAGTGTCTTCTGGCAGGCATGCCGAGAAAAAGACCTCCACACTTGCCTAGAGCCTTGGCACAGAAAGCCTTGCACATGGAAAGAACCAGTTCCAAAAACCAGAGTTGTAATTGATGAGGGGTGGAGGGGAGTTACCTCAGAACTGGGGATTCCACCGGGAAGTGAGCTTCCCCACAGAAATGGCTCTCATCAGGAAGAAAACACTGACTGAATTGTTTGAAATTTTGAGACTAGAAGCCCCGCCCCTTCCTGCATAGACTGCCACTATAAAAGAGGAACTGTTAGCCAAGGCTGTAGTGCCTTGTTTCAGTCTATTTACTTTTATTATTTTATGTTTGGGTTTATCTCTACTTTATTGTTCCGTTGTGTCTGTCAGGTGTGTCTTGTCTGAATAGGATTTGCTGGTGCTTTCTTTCTATGCATCTACTCCTCAGTGTCCCTGCTGTTTCTCTAACGCTAGAGGAAGCACTTCCGTCTCACTTCCGTTTTCCTCCTTCCCTCCCTTCCTCCCCTCCATTCCCTTCTCCTTTCCCTCCTTACTAGCACTCTTAATCTAAAAACCAGAAGCCTCGTTTTCTCCATGCAGAACCCCAATGCTGCTGACTCAGGCCCCATCAGGGACACAATTGAATTCAACATGTGTCTTCCCAGTGTAGATCCTCTCCAGCACTACCATCTTTATAGCTGTTACTGAAGTGAAGACCCTAACTGGGAAAACTCACAGAGGCAAAGGGAAAATAAAGGGCACATTAGTCCCAACAGATGCAAAAACAAATACAATTTCAAAAACGTCAGACAACTGTCCCATTAGGACACCTGCCCAAGCTTACAACTTCTCCATACCAGAAACCAAATCTAAGGAACTAGCTGAAAGACTGGGGAAGGATTTCAGAGTTCTGCTTCCTTAAAGGATCACTGACCTCGTGAAGACTCAACAGAGGAGGTGAAGGCTATCAAGCAGCCAACTCAGAACCTACACAAGAAAGTTACTCGATGGACAGTCGGTCATTTGGTAGAGAAATTTAAAAGTGCAGGAAAAATTCAGTAAGTAATTGAGACACTGAGGAAGAAACAAACAGAAATGCTAGAAATGAAAAATCCAATCAAAAAACCAAACAAACAAAACAAACACCAGCAAACAAAAACAGTAGAAAAAAGGAAGAATCAGGAAAGGCCAGGCAGAAGAACAGCTGTTAGGGACAGATGACTTGAGACAGTAGCACATTCAAGCATACACAAAACAAACGGCAAGGCAGACACTTCCAAAATCTCTGGGACATATTCAAGAAACTAACCCTAAGGATCCTAGGCTAGAAGGAGCTAGTCTAATTTCATAGGCAATTTAGTCAATGGAATTAGAAAGTTTCATGAACTGAGAGGAAGAAATGGAGATAGATGCACAAGATGAATGTGGAGCCCTAAATAGTCAAGATGTCAGAAATGCAAAGCAACAGCTGTAAGGGGAATGGCGAAGTCAAACCTGTGAGTATCACTAGGCCTTGTGTCAGTAACCATGACAACCAAGAGTATTTGGAATGGCATATGCTAAGCACTGAAAATAAATAGCTGCCAACATGGAAAACACCAGTTGACAACAAATCTGGGGAGGGTATGGAGACCGGGAACCCGTTATTCACTGCAATTTGGAGTGTAGTCCGCTACATCCCCCTGGAAAGTCAATGTAGAGGTTTCTAAAAAACTTAAACATAGAACTTCTCTGTATTACTCGGGTGTGCCAATCTATAGTGTATCCTTAAATGGCTCTTGGGTCTGTACCTCCTAGGACTTGCACACATGTTTATTGCTGAATGGCTCACAGTAGCTAAGGAATGGAACCAGCCTAGATGTCTGCTGACAGATAAGTTAAGTGGAGAAAACACAGCATATACATACAGTCGAATTTTATTCATCTATAAAGAAACGTGAAATGGCATTTCCAAGAAAACAGATGTGAGTGAAATTCATTGTTAGGTGAAGTAAGCCAGACTTTTACAAGTAACTACAACTTTTTTTTACATATGTAAATTCTAGAGGTTGGGATAGGTTATGTTTAAACTAGAAATGGGAAAACAATTTTTAATAACTTACTTTTGTTTTTGTGTAAGTTGGTGTTTTGTCTACATGTATGTCTGTAAGGGCATCTGGTCCCCTAGAACTGGACTTACAGACAGTTGTGAACTGCCATGTGGGTGCTGGGAATTGAACTCAGGTCCTATGGAAGAGCAGTCAGGGCTCTTAACTGCTGAGCCATTTCTCCAGCCCCCCGAAAATGACTTTTAAAAGAGGTGATTGGATACAGATATGTGAGACATGAAAACGAAAAGGTTATTATTAGGAAGGGGACCAATAGGGATTTGAAGACGACAGAGGGGGATGGAAGGAAATAACCATTAAAAATGAAGTCTATAAAGTTGCTATGAAGAAACTCACTAATTTGTGTGCTAATTTTAAAAATTAACCAAATAAATCCTGACAGATGTCTTAGGCAGGAACTGTCCTTTAGTTATCAGTGAGAAAAGTGAAGCACAGAGTCGCTAAGTAAAAGCAGCTTGCTCACAGCCCACACTGCAAACCAGTCCTGAGGAATCAGGCTCCAGACAACCTGTGCCAGATCTGCACCCCTTAATGCTGAGGGTGAAATTTGATTGTGTTTTTCAAGTAAAGATTAACCTAGGATCTTCTTAAAGAAAAAGTACTTGGGGTTAATCATAAGTTTACCCTATGTGATGGCTAAGGTCATTTTGGTATAGAAATTGCTATGCTGGAAGCACACACCTGTAATCTCAATGTTCAGGAGGATCACAGTTTCAAGTCTAGCCTCAACTACAAAGCAGCTCTCCCAAAAAAGAAAAAAGAAGAGAAGCATAAAGGCTGTGGGAGGGTCATCTTTGGAACACAATATAATGGCATGCCAGAACAATGGCCCAAATGTTAAGCCACCCCAGTTCAATAATGCACTCTGTAAATCATACTAGCTCCTTTCCCAGTTAATGGCATTTGGGGAGTATATTTCCTAGCTTGCCAGAAGCATTTGGAAATGATGCTTTCCCTGACTTGTGTTTGAAAGCTAATGTGGGAACAACAGGATGTCTAACTAAGCTTATCCTCATTTGAAGTAGTAGAACTTGCCCCCAGTATTGTCACCTCCTCCTGCCTGCCTGCTTCACCATGGCATCACTTTCTTCCTCAGGTACTTCCAGAATAAGAGGGTGGTTCCCTAGAAACTGTGTGGAAAAGTGTCCCTGTGATGGCGAATCAGATCCAGCCCCAGAGGGTGAGAAGAAGAACAGATAGCCACTGTTACAATGAAATCATTAAATCTTCATTACTTGAAAATCACACATTACCCAAGAATTATGCAACAAGCCTACTCTGCTTAAGGTCTCCTTTTCCTCAAAGATGCTCCAGTGCCATGATTTAAGGAGTGTGATTACCATGTGAAACAGAAGCCATTCTGCATATGCCTTTGAAGGAAAGGCGTTCCAGCCAAGTGAGCAGATTGCACTTTCTCTAGGGTTTCTGTGTGCAGCACACCTGACCTCACCTGCAGATCTAGTTCCCCCTTGGCCAGGAGTATCTGCGTGTGGTTATTCTGTTTCTTCCTCAGTTGACATTTCTTCATAATCTAGAGACTATAATACTTGTCAGGTTCAATATAAACTCAAATTTTGTTACTTTTAATAATGCAGATTTTGTCAAATCCAATGAAGGTCAATGGGTGTTATATAAAAATTAAAGTTTTCACTCAAAAGTATGTTTTCTTTTTTCTGAGTAAAAAGGTTTATCTTATGCCCATATGGAAAACACTGCCCTGCTACCATGTGCAGACTTGGTATCTTGAATCTTGAGTCTTAAGACATGACATATTCAGCTATATATGAGCTCTGTTATTGGTAGATTGGCTTAGCGGCTTTACAGTTAGTGAGAGTCATTAGACACTGCTTGTGTCTACTTTAATATCAAAACCTGAAGTTTGTGCAAATACTAGGATCTAGGCTAAGCATAAAGGTGAGCTTGTCAAAACAATGAGTAGAATTACAGGAGAAAGCTGACTTCTGCACTTTTGGATAAACTGATTGAGCATTCCTTAACTCTGCACCAGGGGAACTTAAGGCTTCTGGGGCCAATGTAGTAGGTAAGGGTAAGAAATGGGCGCTTGGGAACTCAGCAGTGAAGCAAATGTGGCTTTTACTCCATTGGAGGAGCAGCAGACGAGCAAACATGTCAGATACAATCATTTCTGAAGGCAAGATGGTCTTTTGTTGACAAGGAGATGAGTCAGGATTTTAGACACAGCAAGAACACGCACTAGGGTTTGCCTGACATGCCTGAAGACCAGTGAGGCTGACATTTAAGTCAGATGGAGTAAAGGGCATATCAAGACGGAAGTCAGAGCTGAGAAGGCTCCAGACCCCCAAGCCCTAGAAGGTAGTCATATCTTCCCTTTGTTTCAAGTACAGGCATGGTTTCAGCTTTGCTGAGCTCAAGGTAAAAAAAAAAAAAAAAAAAAAAAAAAAACCTTGAGTATTGTAAATTCCACTTAGAAGCCAGAAAGGACTAGATATTAAGACTATACTACAACAGCCAGCCCTGGTGGCATACCTTTAATCTCAGCACAGCAGAGGCTGGTGGATATGAGTTGTAGGCCAGCCTGGTCTACATAGAAAGTTCCAGGCTAGTCAGGGCTATAGTGAGACCCTAGCTAAAAAGAAAGGAGAGCCATACAACAAAGTAAAGGAAACAATGTGAGGATGCTTAGAGAGTAAGGCTGCCTTGCAGGTTTATTACTCTGAACTGTGATAGGGCAAGTGGAGCCGGGCCTGTCAGTTTCCCCGAGTTTGCTGCGTGCTAACTCATCTGAGGACCTTGTAACAATCCTGGGCAGTATTTTTTTGATTTTGAGACAGTCTAATTATGTAGCTCAAGCTGGCCTCAAGACCTGCAGCAATCCTGCCTTGGCCTCCTGAGTGTTCTCATTGTGGGTGTGTCACCACACCTGGCTACAAAGCTATGTAACTCAGGGACCCCAGAGAGTACCCAGTCATATTTTCAAATCAGGTGATTCTACTGTACTGCCAAAATTTAAGAACCACCTGATTTTTCACTGATACTTGTTAACCACGGATTCTCATCCCAATCCACAGGATAGCAAGCACAGCATAAATATCTGCAGTAGTTTATTTCAGAGATCTGCCATTTACAAGTACAGGCCCCACATGCTATCAGGCAGTGAGTACTGCAGGGATTGGAGTCCAGGGAGAAAGATCTGGAAGTCCCTTCCCAGAAGTCAGGCTTGCAGTTCAGGCTTCATGCTTGCCTGAGGACCTTTGCTCCCAGTGCAGGAGAGGAGCTAGTTGCTTGCCTCATTTCCTGGAAAAGTTCACCGGGCAAAAGTTTCTGCTTCTTCCTCCACAGCTTCCAGCTCAGCAAACTGTAGGGAACAGAGTATCAAAAGCTGCCACTGCAGATAACACTTTAAAACAGCATTCTCTTTGGACACACTATCTACCATGTTTAATGTTCCCAACTCAGAAGTCTGTCTAGGAGCCTAAAGCAATGTTTTGCTATACTCTGCCTTGTCCCTTCATTGCGTAAACGCAGATGTACACGGAAGTGTGTAGAAGTTTATCTCATAAATAGGATTAGTGTAGGTGACAGGTTAAAACTCCAATTAGTAGTTTCGTGGAGTGACTGACAAATATGAATTTTAAATTGAAAATCTCTCAATCTATTAGAGCAGCAGTTCTCAAGCTGTGGATCATGACTCCTGATATTACAACTCCTAACAGTAGCAATAGTACAGTTATGAAGTAGCAATAAAATTTATAGGTGGGGTCACCACAACTTGAGGAACTGTATTGAAGAGTGACAGCATTAGGAAGGCTGGGAAGCACTGTGAGTGCTCAGCACTTGTGGAAGTGCTGAGCTGCTGGCCAGCAGGAGCTTTATGAAACAAGGCACCTATCTAGAGGATCCCCATGACGCTAATGATCAGTAATCAAGATGGGATAACAGAACAAAACCTGGGCCCCTGAAGAACAGCATATTGCTAAAGTAGCCCTAAGGCCTAAAATGTCAGCAGAGTCTAAGCTGGGAGGAGTGCGCCAGTAGCTCATAGTTTGATAGTTCAGTAGCTAACTGGTATGAAGAAAAGACAAAAAGAGGGATAGGTTTGAATGCATACTTGGGCTTCTTGGAGCCCTTCAGCAGTGAGTACCTTATCCTACTCCTGGATACTCTCATAGAGGCTCTTGATTTGGGTCTGGAAGAATTTGGCAAGCTCCACTCGTTTCGCTTTCAGTGTTGGCGTCAAAAGCCCATTTTCAATGGAGAATGGCTCTGGGTGGACAAAGATGCTTTTGACCTGGAAGGCAGGCACATGTTGATGGTTGGCATTTCATCAGCAAAGTGCCCCCAACCCCATGATAAACTGCAATGTTGTTTCACCTTATAAAAGTACAGACACAGACCCACGTCCCTTCTAAGATAAGGCCATCTGTAGTCCAGGCTGACCTCAGACTTGCTGTATAGCTGAGACTGGTCTTGAACTTCTGATCCTCCTTCCCCCACCCGAGCAGTGCTGAGGTTAATGCAGCACTGGAGATTAACCGATGCATGCTGGGTAAGCAATCTACCAGCTGAGCCATACTGGACATTTGGATAAATGGAGCAGGAAGAATAAATAATGGACAGCAAAGGGGGACAGAACACATAACTATAACCCACTATATTTTAGTAAATCTAAAATATTAAGTTCCTTGGAAGTTAAAAGGCTTGAAACCAATATAAGTGGGAGCTTTACACTTCTAGTGGCACTTGAGGGACCAGGAGGGCATCAGCAGTACAGACCTGTTCAAAGGATTTCAGGCCACCTTCTTTCCCAATTTTCTGCAAGTCTTCTAGAATGGCTTCCTTTACACGCTAAAACGAAAAACATCACTTAGAGCAGTCATGACTGAGGAGGTTTAAATGGAAGGCTAGGCAAGAACCAACTGGCAATGCCTAAAACATTTGAATTAAAATTGAGATACAAAAAAAAAAAAAAAAAAAAAAAAAATGTTGAAGCAGGTCACGTACTTTGCATTTACCAAAGGAAACAGAATGGGAAAGGCAAACCCAGCGGCTAACAGGTTCTGTCTCTATGGCAGTTTTCAGTCTCTTCTACTTCATTTTCTCTCCCACGCAGCACATAGCTGCTTAAAAACAAAACAAAACAAAACCAAAAAAACAACCAAAAAAAAACAAAACGCATCTTGTGTTTTAAACTACCCATTCGGTTTTAAAAAAAAAAAAAAAAAAAAAAAAAAAAAAAAAAAAAAAAAAAACGCATCTTGTGTTTTAAACTACCCGTTCGGTTTTTCAGCCTAATAAAACTATTAAGTCCATCTAGGGTGCAGTTAACCTCCAGAGAGGAGGCTCAGAGAACCCAGAGATGCTACAACAGATTGGGCCTCCTCTCTGCTACAGCAGGCCATGAGGATTCATTCAACAGCCATGCTTACTTGGTGAGCAGAAGTTCTCAGCCAGGCTTACTTGGACAACATTTTGAGCCATGCTTACTTGGTTTTGGCACAGTTCTTCAAAGGATCCCTTCACCCCAATCTTGGCTGCAAATGAGGGAAGCGAATCAGGGTCAGGAACCACTATTCCTACCAGGAACGACTGCGGGAAGGAATATGGATTATTGTAACAGGTCAGACGTGCGGACTGATTCGGTACTCAGTTTTCCACACCATACCGTCTCCCACTCTGCACTTCACTGCAGAGATGTCCTAGCCACACCTGAGTCTTCAAGGAGCAGTTGTCATTAAGCTCCAAGAATCCCGAGCAATATGTGTTGAAACTCACCACTCCCAACCCCTACAAAACCAGTTTGGAGTGCAATATACAAATGACACTTGCGTCAGAGGAGCTCCTCAGAGTGGACACCAAGGGTCCCAAGCACAAAGTCATGTGAGATAAAAGCTACCTCTTAAAGTAGTTGTTTTAGTAACCCCAACAAATTATTTCATGGATGTTTATGATTCCGAATGTAGTTTTGTATTAGTAAGCCGGGCTGTCTTATCTAGCCCCAGATGTACAAATGTCCTCTGACTATGAGAACCAACTAAGGCCATCCCTGAAACCAGTGTGTTACCCGTAAGCTCTCCCCATGGATAAAAACTTGCAATACTGGTCTGCTCCTGTTGTAAACATTTTCTATCTTCTCTGGAGCAATGTATTCTCCTTGTGCCAACTTGAAGATATTCTTCTTCCGGTCAATGATCTTCAGAGTTCCATTCTGTATGAGGCAGATAAAGCATATCTGTGTTGAAGCCTTGTAGATGGTGTTAGTAGCTAGGTGGGGAAGCCAAAGGTATTGTCCTTATTTAAAATGGTTACTCTGGAGATTTCTGTTGTTTCTGTCCCTCGGCTTTGGAGAAAGGAGAAGTGGCTTCCACAAAGCCTGTCTACAGAAAGCCAACCAGCAAGCCTCAGGGAAAGTCCCAGGGACCTGCTGGGTTATGCAAATGGCTGCCTCATTCAGTGAAGATATTCCACAGCTCTCAGTTTCCAACTCCATCTCAAGAACTCTGAGAAATAGAGGCCTTATCTTTTACTAAACTGCTTAATGAATTTGCTCTCCTTGCCATGTTTACTTCCTGTTAAATCCAGGAGCAGGCTGAAACAGCTGCATGCTACTGACCAAGCCAACCAATAACTGGGCTTGTTAGCACAGAAGTAGGGCTGGCAGGGCTGTAACCCCCATCACAG